AATAAAGCCTTCACACACAAGACCTATTTAAACAGTCATCATCGAATCCACAGTGGAGAGAAACCTTTGGAATCTGAAATCTACAATTTTAACTTAAGCTTTAGATAACAGAGCCCATAATGTGTTGAGAAGCTCTTTGAACTAATATACAGTTTTTCGGAGAAGTGTTCTGTAACGAATGATAAAAATTCAGAGAGTGCATAAAGGTATATGCAATGTTGAGTTGTTGTTGAGTCATACATTGGGTTTCATCAAATAATAAAGTGCGTTTTCAGTTTTTGATTTTCTGGTGATTAATTATGCACTAGTCAATTGAGACCAACCGACCCCCGGGGAATACCGGGGAATTTAACGTTTGAGTTGTGTTGAAATAAGACATTTTCCCCGGTAGTCCGGGGCACATTCATTGTGAAATTCCCCGCTACTGTTTCCCCGTTATTTTGGCCTAGTAGTAAATAAACAAAACAAACACCTTTCAATCAAATTTTCTGTGATACACAGGGTGAATTTTTGTATAATCTTGTGTACTCATTTTCGTACTACATGAGGCTCACTGGACAGAGAAAAACGTGTGTAATAGGTTTCTTTTCAAAATATTCATGCAATGAAAAATAAATAAAAAAGCGGGGTTTGATACCAATGCCTTCAGGATATTTCTCAAGATGGCCAACCTCTAGTTTCTAGCCTTATGCATGCTTCAAACGGGCGGTTAAAATCCCCGCTCTTTGCCCCGCTTCGAAAGCAATTCATCAAAATCCCGACCCCCCGGGGCAATCTTGCTGTTAAAAGCACGGTCAAAACGCGTCACGTCCCCGTTCAGTTCCCCGCTAGCCCCGGGGGTCGGGGGTTTCAATTGACTAGTGCATTAATTGTCTAAGACGCGAAAACTCGTTGCATATGTAACGACGTCAAAACGATAGAAATATCGAGCCAGGAAAAATATCCTGTCTCATTTTTTCCAAAGTAGCCCGACTTCACGCTCTAAGAGCGTTTAATACAAAATATGTAAAGTAAGACTTTAAGTCTAAAAAAATAACAATAAATTTGACCTAGAAGTCATATAATCAACACCGCCGGATAATTCAACAATCTTAAATGCAATGTTAAAAAAGAACCTACTTAAAGTCTATACTTATCGAAGTGTTTTGTACATGGACAAGAGTTATTTTCAGGCGAAGTTTTAAATAAATCCTTGCTTTGACTGATAAAATCAAACGCAGTAGACTAAATGTCGCTAAGTGATATCTAATACGTTTTTAATTCAAATTGACATCTCAGGCCAAGAAAATAAATACTTTACAAAATTAAAAGATGACTTTAAAATAATCAAAGTCGCCCTTTTTCAATGATGAACAAAATGTCTTCTTGTTCCAATTTGAAACCTCTGCCCAGACAAGACACATGTAAAGCTAGAAATGTTATTGATTAAATTAGTTTAGTAATCATAATAGTCGAAGCTGCATGCGATCTGCACATGCGCGTACTTCTGATGATTAGAAATGCATTCCGATGAGATAATACATACCACATTTGTAAACGAATGAATTTTTGATCACATAGAAGCGCAAGTATCATCAAACAGTTTATGACGATATTCGTACATCTATAACGTTTAAGCTTCCGGTCATGTAATAAACACAGCCAATCCAGTAGTTGATCGTTAAATACTTCCGGTTTCTACGTCTCGAATTCTTGATTTCCGCTGGTCCAAACGCGATATAATAGATAGATAGATAGATAGATAGATAGATAGATAAATAGCCGACTTGCGAGTTACGCATCAATAGTCACATACAAAGGAATCAAGACGAGGCGCCGTGCTTTTTTGTGAAAAATCTATTTTCTTTAGCACGGCGCCTCGTCTTGATTCCTTTGTATGTGACTATTGATGCGTAATTCGCAAGTCGGCTATTGGCAAAGAGGTATAACTCAAGTCTACCTAGCCTACGGCTAGCCCGACTAATAACAACAAAAGTAATCTGCAAAGAACTGATAGCAATAAAGAAAATACGAAAACATTGATTACAACCCTAGCAAAGAAACAGCAAGAATAAGAACATCACAATTTTTGGCAGCAACATGCAACAACCCACGTCAACACAACCACAATGGTAACAAATCAAACGGAAACAATATCGCATCATTATACAACCAGAAACAGTGTCTTGAGCTTATCGTACCTTTACAATTCGGTCCTTTAAAGTAYGCGCCACAATCACACACGTATCCAACACACGATGACGTCACAACACAAGTGCCACCATTTTTACAAGGGCCAAGTGCGCATGCGTTCTTTCTAAAGCGTTGTAAACTGTCCATGTAAACTGTGTCGTCATTAGTTGGCTTCAAGTYACAAGGATGACTACCTTTGCTCCCTCTGTTTACCTCACATACTCGTGTTGTGTGACTGTAATTGACACTAAAACATTTCTCGTCACTCGCACATTGCGTGACACATGTGTCGARGCTGTTTCCTTTTATGGTATAAATCACGTGACCTTTTAAAATGTAACCGGAAATGGATTTAATGGTAATGCAGGGGGGAGCTTCCTGTCCTTGGGTTGGTGCCTTGTTGGTGGATGTGAGGTATATAAGAAATGCCCATATAAGGAGATGCTGCATTATATCTACGAGCTGAAACCAAGCAATACAACTTGTGTAAACAAGTGGCAGTCAATGACAGCAACTTTTATTAAAAAGATGCGGAATGGATTTTTTCATGTTAATAAATTATCCTGCTTTAAGAACTAAATAGTGAAAAAATATTTGCTATAAAATACGCAAGTTTTGAGTAAGATTTCTCAATTTACGCAAAATACTAGTTATGTTWTATTTTAATAAAATTATCAGTATCTTCAAGTCTACCGCGTTCGCCGGCTTTTTGTTTCGTTTTTTTCATTCATCCAAGTTTTTGTTCGTTTGTGTGTCGTTTGTAATTTGGTTCCATCACTCTTTCATTAAGAAAACTCAAACATTAAAATAATTTTCTAAAAAAAACTACTTACCTTTTCAACAAAACGATAATCGTTCGCAGGCTTTATCACTCAGGAAGATTTTCATATTTTTGTATCATCTTATGTACTAAATCGGTCCTAGTTTTCKCAACATTTTGATTGTTTTATGCGTAGGTTTTTCATGTGTTTCAATRAGCCTTTACCCCGATTGTTGGCTGACTTAATGTAGGCTTGAAGTTGAAAAACAAACTCAATTTAAAAAAAAGCGTAGTCGTCATCAGCTGTCATGTGAAAGCTAAATCTTTGTACACCTGTATTGGTTCTTATTGACCGGACTTTGTCAGATTTTGAAGACAATTTTTGGACTATAAAACGCATTAAATATCTATCTAGATAACTACATCACACTCTTGTATTAAAATGACAGTTACACAACTTTGATTTACCATGAAGCTGAGATAGCTGAGATATTTATTAACGTTTCATGTTAATAATGTTTCATGAGTTTTCAAGTTAAAGATGTTAAACATCCATCTAGGATTCRCACAAAGAGGTATATTACTAGCAAATATTAGCATTAAGCATTTCRCTCAGTGTTCTCATATTTCTCGTATCGTCGACGAAAGTAAATATGGAAGACAAGTATAGTTTCCTATCAGTACCTACCACAAAGATTTAGACTGTTCATAAAGTAATTAAGTGAGTATTGCTAATGGAACGGATACGCCCTGTTATAGTAATGACGGTGAGCGCGRCATCGTTCAKWWTTGGGGTCCCGCCTGACACCAAACAACMTGGAAAATGGACCGGGAAATRSATGTTATTRCATCGCGTT